TTTTAGATGAGTTCACACTGTGTTGCCCAGGTCTGGAACTTACGGGCTTAAGTGGTTCTCCTGCCTCAGCCTCCGAGTAGCTGGGCCTACAAGCATATGCCGTTATGCCTAGGCACTTCTGTTTCTCAGCTCCTCTACTGAATTTTTTAAATTTCAAAAGCCAAATTTAACTTTATTTTGAAACAATTTTAAACTGCCAAAAAGTTGCAAAGATAGTCTAAGGAATGCCATTTACCCTTTACTCAGAGTCATTTTTGTTTTGTTTTGTACTTTTTTGAGACACAGTCTCGCTGTGTGTCCCAGGCTGGCTTTGAACTCATGGTGATCCTCCTGCCTCAGCCTCCTCTTGAGTGCTGGGATTACAGGCATGTGTCAGTTAAACTGCAGCATTTTGCCACCATGGTGTCATCCTATCTGTCTGCAGGCATCCCAAAGTCTCATCCTGCCACGAGTGCCATGCCACGAGGACGAGCTCCCGGTTTTGTTTTCCATCCAGATTTGGAGCCCTGAGGGCTGGGGATTTAGCTCAGTGGTACCACCGCCTGCATCACAAGCACAAGGTCCTGAGTTCAATTCCCTGGTACCAAAAGAAGACGGAGTCCTGGCTGCTCTAGCGTGGGTCTCAGTCATCCAGGACCTTACTGCTGCTTGTGCTGCTCGAGTTGGTCTCACTTGGCTGCCGGGACACTGCTGAGCAGGTCGAGCTTCCCAGCCAGCAGTCGGCCACCTCTCTGAGCACTTGGGTTTGTCTGGGTGGATGGTGCTGGCAGCCAGGCTCCAAGAGGTGGCCAGCCAGGTTGAAATTCCCACTTCCTAGGGCTGGGGCTGGGGCTTGGCTCTGGTAGAGCTTGCCTCAAGTGCTCAGGGCCCTGGGTTCAACCCCCCAGCACTGCAACAGCAAATCATATTTCCTCTGCACTGTCTAGGGCTTGGTGCCCAGGTCTTGGACCTGCTGCAAGCAGGAGGACCTCGGTCCTGATGCTGCCCATCTGGCTCAGCGGCTCCCCTTTGTCTTGGCCAACCCCTGCTCCTCCTCCACAGGCCTCTGTGAAGACAGCTTCCTGTTCCTTTCAAGCTGAGGGACAGTGGCTATGTCCCCCTGGACTGCAGGAAGCACTCACTCAAGGCCAAGCTGGATGCCCTGCCCAGGAGGTGCGGCAGTGCTGTGTTCTGACATAAAAGTACGGAGTTCACAGCGGCATGATTCATAAGAGCTAAATCGTTTTCCTTTTTTTTTTTTGAGACAAGCTGGCCTTGAACTCACTATGTAGCCCAGGCTGGCCTCCAACTCTCAACATCCTGCTTCAGCCTTCCAAGTGGTGGGATTACAGGCATATATCATTATGTCTGGTTATAATAGCTAAATCTTGGAAGTGGCCTATGTGTCCATCAACAGATGAATGGGTAAAGAAAATGTATTTACACACAATAAAGCACTACTCTGCCATAAAGAAGGATAACTTTGAATCATTTGTAGGAAAATAGATGTGCCTCGAGACCACAATATTAAGTGAAATAAATCAGGCACACAAACTCGTGGTTTCTCTTATTTAAGAAAGCCAAAATGTAAATAAAGAGCAAAATAAGAGATAAAGAACAGTGTGATCTTTTGCAAAAGAGAAAGGGATGGAGAGATGGAGGATGCTGGTGGGGGAGGGCAAAGGGGCATAAAAAGAATGAAGATGTATGTGTACCAGTTCCCAGGATGAATGTAATTGTTGTATCCTGCGAACATGGCCTAAATAAAAATAAATACTAAAAAACAAAAGGACTATGGAGGAGCCCCAGAGAAAGGCCAGCTTTCAGCCACTGTGTGTGTGTATGTGCGCCCCGCATGTGGTGCTGGGATGAAGCCAGGGCCTCCCCTGTGCTAGACAAGTGCTCTGCACTGAGCCACACAGCCCAAGAACAGAATAGGTGCTCCTGCAAGTGGCAGTGGGGTCACGGCGATGCCTGCAGGTCTCATCTCCTGGCCTTAGTGTCATATCCTGGCTCAGCATGGCCCCTGGACTCCCTGCCCCACAATCACCCTAAAATCACCCCAGCAGGTACTTCTCCTTTTTTTTTGGTACTGGGGATTGAACTTGGGACCTTGCATTTGCAAGGCAGGCAGTGGCACCACTGAGCTAAATCCCTGGCCCAGCAGGTACTTTTATTAACAATCTTTCCATGGAAGAACACAGGTCCTGAGGTTGGGGATGAGGACCTTTTTGGAGGTGACTAATTCATCCTGCTTACTATGTGCAGTCACTTCCAAACGCAGGTTTTGAGTGATGATGTTACCTTGCTGGGATCTTGTCCAGGTTCCTGATGTTCTAAACAAAGACTCCAGCAGGACCCAAGAGGAATAGCAGGACCAGTAATTTGTGAGAGAGGAGTCTGACTGGCAAATGACCGGCTTGACTGAGGCCCTCTGCTGGGCAGCGTGGACCTTTAATCCCTTGGAGGAGCTGTTATGGTGTCCAAAGCCCACGGTGGTCAAATCTGCTTGGTCAATGATATGGTTATTAGGGGTGGGTCAGCCAAGGACTGGGGAAGCCCCCCGGGCACATGCCTGGGGACTTACTGTGTGTAGCTAAGCTCCCTGATTCTCTTCTCCCACCATGCTCAGACCTGGGCATCCTGGGCCCAGCTAGGGTTTAACACACAAGGCAGATGCAGTCCCAGAAAGTGGCTTCGAGGTGGGCCCTCCCTCCTTTCTCAGCCTTCTCCTTAGCTACCTCCTGTTCTGCCCTAATGTTTCTGAGGCCTGGCTAGTGACAGCCAGATGTAGATGCCTGGCCTGGCTGGCAGTGATGGTGTCCTTTTCTGAGCATCCAGTCTTTGATCTGGCTTGGCCTGGGCTCAGGGTGCCCTTGGCAGCACACAACTGCATGGGGTGGGCAAGATTCCAAGCTGTGTTTAAAGTTGAGAACTTGCAGCTTAATCACCGATGCCAGTTGGTCTTCTCACTTGACTGGGCTGAGACTCTGGGGATGGCCTCGTGGAGCGCTAGACTCATAAGTGAATTAATCCACTAGTGTTTACAGCTGGATATGCTGGTAGGAGGTGGTGTCCACTTGGAGGTGGTCGTGGGTACAGGTCTTTGGAGTGTGTCCCTCTCCCTGGCACTTCCCCTAACCTCTGCTTCCTGGCCACCATGAAGTGAGCATCTTGCTCTACCATACCTTCCACCATGATGATCCTGCCTTGGAGCAAGCTGACCAAGTACTAAACCTCTGTGACCATAAGCCACAACACCTTCTCCTCATCTAAGTTGTGTTGTCAGTGACACAGCTGACATCACAGTCCCTCGCATGACATAATGGAGAACCCTCCAGAGAGCTCCCAAGGTCAAACCATCAAAGGCAACGGGGCCTACAAACTGCTTGTTTTAATGACAATATTTTAGCACATTCAGTTCACAAAGCTTAGTGGCAAATAAATTCAGGAGGTGAGGGAAAGGCAAGTATTTGAATTAATGAACCAAAGAAAAGAGAAGTGCTAAGAATCTTGTTAATGTAGCCACCATCTCAGAGCCCAGCCCAATCTGACTTTCTTATAGTGAAGAGTATATTCAGCAAATATTGGATGCAGTGAACCCCCAAAATTCACAGGGGTTACCTTCCTAGAGCACCTGCAAATTGTGAAAACCCACAAATTTTAGATATGGTCAGAAAATGCCTATAAATGCCTATTTTTATAGTTTAAACCCTAAATATGCTATGTCTCCCACAGTTATGTAATGTAATTTAATAAAATACTGTATTATTAAAGCCTTAGAGCCTGCCTCAATACCAATAAATAAATAAATAAATGCCATACAATACATGAAAGCCTTAGAAGGTGCAGGGCATTTGGGCAGCATCATAGGGATCTTAAGGGCTTTTAGAAAAACAAAACCGAGAACACTTGAGACAGCTACATGCAGTAGAGCAGCCTGTTATGATACAGGAATGCTGGTGCATCCACAGGGCAACCGCAAGGAGAACTGAATAATGCTCTCAGATTGGCTACTTGCAAACCTCCTGCCAAAAAAACAATTGTGGGAGATATTTGCATTTTCCACAAAATTGTGGGGATTTCCGCAAACAATTATTAGTTAGTTTCTAAGGAAAAATTCGTGAATGACTGAGACAGCAAACTCTGAACCATGACTTCGTGAGGGTATATTATATTGGCCAAGACCCACTTTATTTTCTGGTGGCTCTATGGCTGCTTTTTCAAGCCTGTTTGCTCTAGGATCTGAAATTTTTTGAAAATCACGTTGCTGTGGTTTAGATCTAAAATGTTCCCAAGTCTCATGTTTGTGGAAGGTGATTAGATCATGGGCACTACACTCTTCAGTGGATTCATCCATGGATGAGTTCAGAGCTGAATGTACTATAGAAGGTGGGGCTTGGTTGGAGGTGGTTCCTGGGGTGTGATCCAGAACCGTGGATTTTTGTCCTCAGCCCCTCCCTTCTCTCTCTGCTTCCTGGCTGCCATGAAGTGAATAGCTTCCTTCACCAGGCCCATCCACTATGCTGTTTCTGCCTTGGAGCCAGCTGACCATGGACTGAACCCACTGAAAACTGTGAGCCAAAAGAAATCAATCCTCTGTTTAGTTTGTGGCTGTCAGATACCTGGTCTAAGTGATGGAAGGTGACTGAACACACATAATAGTATCACAGGGACAACTGCTACTTTGACTAAACTGTCTAGGATCAACATGATGCCCAGCACGAAGCCAGCTAGATACTTCATGGAGAATTGACTGAAACTGTTCAAGTCAAGTGCGGCCTGGGACACTGAGTCACATTTATCCCACATAGTTTCATTTCATCCCACATTGTCTCTGCATCTCACCAGATGGTTTTGCTCTCGGGCAGTAGGCATGGCATCGATTTGCCAGGAGTCTATTCCAGAGGTGATCATCACCAAGGTAGGCTTATAATACTGCTTCCCTCCTCCCTTTCTGGCTGGGGACAGGGCCAGGAAGTCCTAAGACACTGGAGGAAGTGGGAACGGGGACAGCTATACACATTTTGGTCCCTGTTTGTCAGGTCCTGGTGTTTCCCTGATAATGCAAGGAGAAAAAGATGAAATGATATATTCAGGTAGAGACAGAGTGGCTGAAACAAAAGACACTCATTTTATTTTCCTTGTCTACTTCAGCAGGCTTTTGCCCCATTTCTTTTTTTTTTGCATATGCAATTGTAAAATAGCATTTTATTATTTTTAACATATTGGTTTGCTCCTTTTCTGAGAGACCAGAGGGTGGGTTTTAGCCTGCTGTACTAGTCACTGGAGACTGCTTTGGGATTTTAGCTCAGATGTCACCTGCACTTCTCTCCAGTCTGGGGATCATGCCCAGGGCCTTGCGTGTGCTGAGCAATCACTCTGCCACTGAGCTACACCCCAACCCACGGCCTCCACTTGAAACTTCTCCTTCTAGCAGCCACTCAGAGAGAAGGCAAAACAGAAGAAAGGTTTTAGGTGTTGTAGAGAAGTTTCCAACCACAGGAAGAGAGTGAAACACTGAAGTTGTAGAATGCAGGATGTAGCAGATTGTGGGGTCCGGCCACACTGGCAGGGACCAGGCCGCCCGGAATGCAGTGCCCCGTCCTGTCTCCTCAGAGCACGACCACATCTCATGCATGGGGCACACGCGGAACACCCCATGTCTCAGAAGGTTCCCGGAGCAGCTGGGTGCACTGGGCCGGGGTATAGGAAGGCCTCAATGTCAGGACAGCTCAGTGGCTCAGGTGCTAAACATCATGAAGCCCCCGAATGCAGTGCCCACAGGGCTCCTCTGGGCCACAGTGCCCTGTGTCAGCTCGAACCACACCCTTTCCCCCCGCCTCAGCTCCGCCATGGCAAAGGTGGTGGCCGTGCCCCCAGCACTCTGCGCTGTGGTACAGACCGGGGTTCGATGGTGACCCCCAATCACCAGCTGCCCTGTCCCAGGGCCGGGGCCAAATTCCACGCTCACTGCAAACATGTAGATGCCCCGCTCAGGGGCCTGGAAGTAGCCGAGTTTGGGGAAGTAGCTGGTGCCGGCATTGATGGTTGTGGCGTTGAACTTCACTGTCTGGGGGGCGGCCATCCCTGTCCCATCAGAGAGGCTGGCGTAGAAGGCCACAGGGGAGCCTGAAAGGCAGAGGAAAGGCTTGGTGACTCAGTCCTTCACCTCCTTGGGTGGGAAATTAAATGCTGAAACCTGCCTGCTGAGCCTCATTAGCATTGGAAATAGATTATTTTTTTTGAGACAGGGCCTCACTATGTAGTTTAGGTTGGCTTTGAACTCACTATGCAGCCTAAGCTGCTGGCCTTGAACTCATGGAGATCCTCCTGTTTTAGCCTCTTGATGCTGGGATCATAGGGGTGTGCTCCCATGGCCAGCTTGCAATCGGTAATTATTTCTGGGTAACACAATATTCCCCACATAAGTGTGATCAGAGGGCAAGAGAAGGAGATAGAAATCTGTTGTCTGGCTGAGGGACCTGACAACAGAGCCCTTTCTTGCTGGACTCTCCCACGATTTTCTCCAGAGGTAAGTGTCCGTCACTGAGAGAGCACCTTGATGCCTGGCTGGCTGCCCAAGGCAACATGGTTTGTACATGGCTGGCACAGGAGTCCTGGTCTCCTATTTCCTGTCCACTGGGACCCCCGAGGAGTCCTGAGAGCCCCAAAGGAAGACAGGACAACTGCTTGCCCTCACTGAATGAGCTGGGGGTGCGGTTCCTACTGATGCTGCCCAGGATCTCTGAGAAACAGGAAGGAGGCTCCTCCCTGCCCTGCCGTGGCTTCTTCCTGTGGTTTCCAAAATGCTGCACACAGCCCCAGGATCACAGCTGGGGAAACTGAGGCCAGGAAGGGGAAGTCTTCCTAGAGTCTGTGGCTCTAGAATGACCAAGCAGGAGCAGACCCTGGATCCCTTGGTTTCGGGTGCTCTTTCCACACTCTCCCTTGTGGTAGCACTTTCTCTGGCCTTGGCATAGGCTGAGATAGGCAGGTGCTAGACACACACAGGCACTGGGGCAGAGGGAGCGCCATGGGGTGAGCAAGGAACGGCTGTGGGCTGGCCAGGGAGGTCGGGCAGGGGGAGGACAGGCAGGAGACCAGGCCAGTCCCACTGAAGTCCAGAGTGTGGCAATGACCTCAGACCTAGCAAGGTCATTTTTTTTTTCTGGTACCGAGGAGCAAACTCAGGACCTTGTGCTTTCGAGGCAGGCGCGGTGCCACTGAGCTAAATCCCCAGCCCTATGATCATGTTCTTGAGGGACCAACTGGGTATCTGGGGAAGGGAAGAGTCTGAGACCAAGCCCCACACTTCTCAGGGGATGAAGCCGAGGCCTAAGGAAGCCTGGGACTCAGGTCTCAGGACTAGAGCCATGTCTGCGTCTCCAGAGTCTGGAAGATGTTCTGAGAATTCCTTCAAAATCACTTTCCTGTTTGGGCCAAAGCAGAGGCCACGCTGACACTGCAGTTCCTGATATCCACAGCAGGTGGCGCGCTCGCCCAGCCGGAGGAAGCCGGACTTGCAGCGCTCTCTGCGGGCTTCCAGCTTCCCTCCACCCTCCGGCGTCCAGGTTCTCCGTGGAGGGAACCGCACCTGCCCTGCGCCCACCTAGGTGGAAGGTCCGTGCATTTTGTGCGTGCCATGCCCTACAGGGCACAATTAGAGCTCTACAGCCTTCTTGCTGGAGTAATTTTCTAAAAGACAGTACTGCGGTGGTGCCCGGCGTGGAGGTGCAGGCCTGTGGTCCCAACACTTGGGAGGCTGAACCAGGAAGATCGCTGCAAGTTCAAGGCCAGACTGGGCTACATAGTAAGTTCAAGACCAGCCGAGACCACACAGCGGAAGCCTGTCTCAAAAAAACAAAACAAAACAAAACAAACCGGTAGTGGTAAACATTGCTACATAAGCCATTAGGCAAAGTGTGAAGGTATACTGCCCCTGGCCCCTGCCGCAGAAGTGCTGGGCAATCTGGGACCCTGGCTAGGACTCCGGGTGTTAAACTTGGGCTCGGCGTCCGGAAGATGCAACTGTTGGTCTTCCTAACACTGCCCATTTTGCAAAGGAAGCAACTGAGAGTAGTGTGCCAGAGGGCGGAGCGGGTGCCCTATACCTCCGTGTCCCAGGCTAAACCAGGGTGCAGACAGCCACAGCAACAGGGGCCATCCTTTCCCCTTCGTCTTTCCAGTCCCCCAGGACTCACCTGTCCCCCAGAGCCTTGCACCCAGGGCCTCTTGCTCGCCTTTGGCTTTTGTGCCCTCCAAGGATGCCACCTGCTTTTTATCCCTCCGGTGGGCGGCCGCCGGATCTTTCTGCTGCTTCTTCCCTTTCCTGCTCAACATGACCTGCAGCTTCCCCAGGTCCAGGCTGACGTTGGCGGTCAGGAGCCCTTGGAAGTTGCCAAAGAGGCCATGGAAGAGCCGCTGCTGCTGCTCTAGGTCCCGCTGGGTGGCCGAGAGAGCGCCCTGGAGACCCTGCAGGGAGCCGTTGAACTTGGTGGCCCAGGAAGCCTCACAGCCCTGCCCGGCCTCCTCCACCTCCCGCGCGTGCTGCAGGTTCGCCACGCGCTCATCCAGCTCGTTCCAGCCGACCGCCTGCTCCTGCAGCCCGCGGGCCGCGTCCCGCAGCGCCTCCAGGATCTGCCCATAGCGCAGGTGCAGCGGGCCTGGCGCGCCCTCCGACAGCTCCTCCAGCGCCTCCTCGCCGAAGAGGGCGGCCAGCGCGGCCTCGTGGCGCAGCCCGTCCTGCAGCAGCGCAGCAAAGGAGCTGTGCAGCTGGCGCGCGTCGCGTTTTGAGTCCTCCACGGCCACCCGCAGTGCACTCGCCTCTGTGTCCAGCGCCTGCACTCGGGCCCGCAGCCGGGCCCTCTCTGCCCGCGCGTGCTCACTCTCGGCCCTGAGCACGTCCACGGTGCTCAACACGGCGTCCACCGCGGCGTGCAGGGCTGGCAGGGAGGAGTCGTTCCCCACGTCCGGGGCCCTGGGCGTCTCCTCTGGGGCGCCCGTGGGATCCGGGTCCGAGGAGAGCTTCGGGCAGCTGCAGTCCTTGAGGTACCTGGTGAGGTCAGCGTGGCCACTCTGCAGCTGCTGCAGGGTGACATTGAGCTCCTGCAGCCCCCTCTCCACCTCCTCCTTGTTCTCCTCCATGATCAGAGACTTCTCCATGAGGTCCACGCGCAGCTCACGCAGCCCGGTGTGGTTCACCTGCAGCTCCCCCACCAGGCGCTCCACCCTGCTGATCTGGTCGAAGGTCTCATCTGACTCCGTGTACAGCTCCTTGATTTCGTCCGTGTGCTGGGCCAGCGTTACCCTCATGTCCTCAAGGGTCCCTGCCAGCTCCTCCTCCCTCTGGCTGCTGGCTGTGTGCAACGCTGAGAGGTTTCTCTGCAGCTGGCCCAGCCTGGCCTGCAGGCTCTCAGGCTCTGGCCTGGCTGCTGCCCCAACCTGCCTACCATTGGTCCCCGGGGGCTCCTGGGCCTTGAGCAGCTGCTTGACCTTGCCGTCCACCTCTGCCTGGACCTCAGTGAGGGCCTGGTGCAGAGACAGGTGCTGGGCGTGCAGGCGGCCCTCCACATCCTGCCGAAGCTGCTCCATGTGCCGGCCATGCTCCTTGACTTTGGCCTCAAACTTGGCACTGACCTCTTGGAAGTTGGGCCCAGCCACTGCGCTGTCCTGTATGTGCTGGAGGGCCTGGCGGTTGGCCTCCACCTCAAGGGACAGGTTCCGCACGGCCTGGGAGAGGCTGTACAAGCTCTCCTTGAAGCTCCTCCAGATGGGACTGAAGTGCTCTTGCAGGAAGGCATCCATGTGCAGCGGGGGCCCCTGCTCCAGGGACCTGCCAAGGGAGTCTGCAGCAGAGGGATGGTGCATTGGCCAGGGCTGGGGTGTAGGCGCCCTCCCCACAAGGGCACAGGCTCTGAGGTCTGGGCAGCCCTGGACCCTGCTACTCACCTGGCTCCATCTTATTCACCTCCGTGGTCCTCACTGTGAGGTCTCCGGTGGCTGAACTGGCCCAGGGATCTGGAAGGCCATCAGCTGCCTGGTGGACGTCATTCTGGAGGTCTCGTGTCAGGCTCCCCTCAGCATCCTTGAGCTCTGCAGCCAGGTGGCCTGAGTATGTGTCAGATCACAGGGTCCAGAGAAGCAGATTTGGGGGCCAAGGCGGGAAGGAGAGGACTTAGAATCCTTGAATCCCAAAAGGGGAAATGCCTGGCAACTGAGCCCCTGCCCCCTCCCAGGCCCACAGCAGACATGACAAATCGATCACAGCCCATTTTCTCCTTGTGTGCCATCCCACCACAAAGGACTCCACAGATGGTGTCTCTTGTGCCAACTCCAAGGTGATGGACCGTGAGATGTCCCAGCCCTGGTTGAGGGCATGAGAGATGTGGGGTGAAGGGAAAGGGGATGGGCAGGTAGGCCCCTGGGGCGGGGGGTACAGAGCCTCAGGGCCCTGCTGAGGCCAGGGGCAGGGTTTCCCTGAAGTGGCACTGAGCGTCTGAGGAGAGGGTCTGCCACTCCTGTGCCTTCAGGAAAGCAACACACCAAGTTCCAAGCCAGCTGGCTGCTCCCAAGGCTCCAAGCGGCTGTCATCCAGTTCCACAGGAGCAGTGGTCACTGTGGGGTCTGCAGAAGGAAGCAAGCGGCAATGTTGACCCAGGAGGGTCTGCATGACCTTGGGGCTGGAGGTTGAGGGGAGGGGGCTGCCCTACCGTGCAGCTGGCAGTCGGGGCCCTGGAAGCCTGGGCAGCACCTCCAGGCCAGGGCTGTCAGGACCCTCTGCTTGACCTGGTACACTGGCTTATGGGCTATGCGGTACCTGGGGGAGAAGGGCAGCTCAGTGACCCAGGAGCCTGGCCCAGAGGGCAGATGGCCTCGGCCCTACTCACATGACTCTGTCTCTCTGGCAGTTGGGAGTGCTCTGCGGACACGGCTGCTGTGAGTGGACCAGGAATCTCTCCATTTTGCAGGCGGCTATGAAGGTGGCCAGCCTGGATGTCTGGTAAGGGCACCAGTTACTGGAAAACAAGCCAGAGAGGTGGGTGGTGAGCCACACCTGGACCTCAGGGACACTCCCTCAAGGCTCCTGGGGGCTGTTTGTGCACAGTGCCCACCCTCTGCATCCACCCGTGGAGAAGGGAGTACCGTGCATTACCATCCTGGGCTCTGAGCCATCTGCACAAACCCAGACTGCATAGGGAGGCTGAGGAGGCCCCAGGATCACACAGAAGGTGCCTGCTGTTCCCCCTGCTGTCTAAGGCAGCAGGCCGAGCTGGGGCTGGAGAGTCCTGGGTTTGAACCCTTCACCCTCCTTGGTCGTGTGGCCTGAGCCCAGAGGGAATTTCTGTTCCCCTCTGAACAATGGAGCAGTGGTCCCTCCAGGAAGTAGGCAGTGTGTGCCAGATGCCTGCCCCTGCCACATGCTCCAGGATGCTGCTCCATGCCCTACCCTGGCCTTTCATCCGAGGCCCCGCCTGCGCCAACTCCTGGCCCAATCGTGCCAATGGGACCACTGTGGTGACGCCAGGAAGAGAGACCATGAGGGGCATGGTGGTCCTGGGGTCACACTAGGCTCCAAGTGCCTGGGATGAAGCCCTGTGCCTCTGCCCTTTGCCATTTTGTGCCATGCTGTCCTGGGGTGAGTGGGGGGGTCAGATCTTCCCTCTACTGTGAGCCCCCAAAGCAGAGGCCCCCAGGGACACCGGTGGCAGTGACCTCTGTGGCCCAGAACGCTCAGCTCCTCTGTGCTGGCTTCAAGCTTGACCCCTGTGGAGGCAGAATGAGGTGCAGGGGCTGGCAGCAGGGCAAGGGCTGGGGATAGTGGGGCTCTCAGGATGGAGCTGCCACTTAAGAGCAGCACCTGTGCCTGGGTGCTGGGAGAGTGGCATGGATTCAAGGGGGCCTGGGCCATCTCAGGGCTGTCAGGAACTGGCCCTGGCCTTGGGGCAGGCACTGCTGGGCAGGCAGAGAAGGCCACACCTGCTGTGACAGTGAGACCTGGCCCGCTTTCCCGCTGTGCTCAGCCTGGCAGTCAGCACGGACCCCAGGGAGCCAGAGGCACAGCATCCCAGGAGAGCAACCCAGCCTGGAGCCAGACCCAGGGTGTTAACATTGGCCCTGGGAAGCGACAGGCGGAAGAACAGAAAGCCATGTCCTGCACCCCAGCTTCTAGTCAGCTTCCAAGCTGCCTGCTCTCTCCTTTTTGGTTTTGTTTTTCTTTCCAGTACTGGGGGTTGAACCTGGGGCTTTCACACTGACCTGCAATCGCCTTCTTTCATTTGTTTTTAAATTTTGAGACAGGGTCTTGCTAAGTCTGTAATTTGCCCAGGCTATATTCAGACTTTCAATCCTCTTGCCTCAGCATCTTGAGAATTAAAAATCCAACATTAAAAAAAAATCCAATATTAGACATAAAAAAGAATTGAATCAAAATGTCCAAAGGTGAAGTAAAGGAAATTTCCCCAAAAGAGCAAACAGAAGATGAAAAATAAATTAAGAAAAAGTTAAGAGCCAGGTGTGTTGGTGCACACTTGTAATTCCACTCCTGGGGAGGCTGAGGCAGGAGGATCACCTGAGTTTAAGGCCAAGGATACATGTTGAGACGCTGTCTCAAACAAAAACAGCAACAACAAAAAGGGCTAAGAGGTCCAGGGATTTAGCTCAGTGGTTCTGCCTCCTGCCTCACAGGCTCGAGGACCCGAGTTCAATCCCTGGTACCAAAAAAACCCAAAAACAACAAGAGTAAAAAGACCTAAGAAAAATTTCCAGCCAGGCATGGTGGTGCATGCCTGTAATCCCAGCACTCAGGAGGCTGTGAGTTCAAGGCCAGCCTGGACCACATACATAGCAAAACCCTGTCTCAAAAAAAAGAAAAAAATATTTCAAGTCCTGGAAATCCAACATCCAAATTATAGGAGTTCCAGAAAGAGAGAACAAAGGGTGGAAGTCGTTGATGAAAATGTCAGACACATGGTCCAGAAGCCAAAACAGGAGTCCTAGGCAGAGGGCGCGCAAGGGCTGGCAGGGGATAGGATGCAGACTCCAGGGAAGCCATGGGGGGAATGTAGGGTTCTGGGAAGGAGGAGGGTGCTCTAGGGAGAAATGCCGAGAAATGCACACTCGAGCACGGGCGCACACACACGCACACGCAGGAGTCATCACGAGGCCTGGCTCCTCGGGCCCTGCAGCGTGGTGGGTGTGGTTCCCAGGCAGCAGCCAGGCGTGCACCCATCTGAGGGAGTTGCAGGGTGGAGACACCAGCTTCCAGACTTGGCCTCCGGGTCACCAGGGGCCACTGACCGGGTCCCCAAGCCGGCAGGCGATGTCTTACAGACTCATGGGCTGGGGTGCAGCTTGGTGGTGGAGCAGGTGCTTCCCATCTGCAGGGCCCCGGCTCCCACCCCCAGCACCAAAGAAACAAAGGAGCACAAGTCTTCTTGCCCAGGGGCCGGGAGGAGGCCGGGAGGAGGCGACTCTGAGGCTGGGCGGGGCTGGACTCGGGTCATGGTGTGGAACGGGTCTCAGCCTGGGTGTGGGGCAGCATGGCGGAGGCACCTAGGCCACGCATAAACCAGGCACAGGGCCGCTGTCCAGACTAGAAGCCACTGGGCTATTGGGGCTGAGGCATGGCCCAGAGGACGAGGTCGGTCAGACCCTCGTGTGAACGAGGGTGGAGCAGGCGTGGACAAGAGGCTGACAGTGCAAGCCTGAGAAATCTAGCAGAGGAAGAAATCAGGCTCCTTTTCACAGGGCAAACCAAAAGTGAGCAGAGGGAAAAATGAGTCATCGTTATTTTGAGGCTCAACTCTCCAAGCGGTATTCATAGTCTGGAGGGTGGGAACAGACTGGTTCGGGAGATTTGGTGGTGCACGCCTGTAATCCCAGCACTCAGGAAGCTGAGGCAGAAAGATCACCTTGAGTTCAGGGCGAGCCCGGGCTGCATAGGAAGTTCAAGGCCAGCCTGACTACATAGGGAGACTTTGCCTCAAAAAAAAGAAAAATTAAAGATGAACTAAAATAAACACTCAAATTGACCAAATGGGAGAATGGTGTGTATGTGTTGTGTTTGCTTTGGGGCTGTGGATGGCATAGGAACAAAAGCTGAATCTTAGGTAATGTTACCTCCCAAGCTGCAATGGAAGCACATTATGACACAAAATAAAAATGTGGGGCCAGGTATGTTGGCACATGCCTGTAGGGAGGAGGAGGCAGGAGGACAGCCGTGAATTCGAGGCCAGCCTGAGGTACATAGTGAGACCTTGTCTCAAAAAAAACCCAAAATAAATAAGTGGGATCTGCTGGGCATGGTGGCAAATACCTGTAATCCCAGCACTTTGGAGGCTGAGGCAGGCAGATCACTGCAAGTTGGAGGCCAGCCTGGACTACATAGTGAGACCCTGTCTCAACAAAACAAAACAAAACAAAACAAGTAGAATCCTTGATCAAAAGGTATTGTTTCAAGGCCACAGCAGAAATGTAGCCTGGTGTGAGTCCTGTAGGGGCTTTGCAGAGTCCTGGGCAGGGTCTCTTGTGAAGCTGGCCCTGATTTGAGGGTTTCTAAACCCTGTGATGCCATCTCATCTGCTGAACTCTGCCATCCAAGTGTTGAGAATGTTAAACCAGCCTAGACCTGTTCCAATAAAATTTTATTAATGAAAACTGGTAGTGCCCCTTTGGCCCACTGACTACGGCTTTCTTTTCTTTCTTT